TGACTAATATGTACCAGGAAATGAATAAGACTGACACAATACACAGTAATTAACCTTAAATATTTCTCACAATAAATAATCCTTATAGCTTCAGCAATATACACCAATATACAGACATACATACATACCAGCATACATACGTGCTCTCTGCCTCTTTTTCTCACCACCGAAGAACCCAGGAATTCATTGAAGTGGATTTGTTTGGGGATAAAAAAGGAAAACTCCACAATGCAATTCTAACCACACACATAAAGTCAAGAGCTACTAAACTATTTCATTTTAGTGATTCGTTTTTCTGGAGATGACCTGTAGAATTGTCTCGGGGACATTTTTTTCTCCAGTTACAGTATATTGTTAATGACTTCTAAAAGCTGATAATGGAAATACAGGCAAGTGGATGTTTTCATGGTTAATTTTATGCATCAATTTGGCTGTGCCACAATGCCCAGATATTTCGTCAAACATTATTCTGGACGTTTCTGTGAGGGTGTTTTTGGATGAAATGTACATTTAAATCAGTAGACTAAGTAAAGCAGATTGCCCACCCCAATGTGAGTGGGCCTCATCCAATCAGTTGCAGACCTGAATAGAATAAAAATCTGTTATCCCCCAATGAAGACGGAATTCTGCTAGCTCGCTCTTCAGATTTCATCTGCAATATTGCTGTTTCCTGGTTCACCAGTAGACTGCCTTTGGACTTGAACTTCAACTCTTTCCTGAGTCTGAAGGCTGCTGCCCTCCCCCATCAGATTTTGGAATCACCAAACCTCCAAAATCACATGAGCCAACTCCTTAAAATAAATATCTTTCTCTCTATATAATTATCTTATTGGTTCTATTTCTGTGGAAAGCCTTGACTAATATAGATAAGTATTAATTATCTTTTCTATCTTAGAGTATCCTGTGCTTTTTACCAAAAAAGATTCCTCAGTAGCTATTGTTAAACATTTGGCTTCTGACAGTTCAGTGAAACTACAATTAAAAAAATACTGCCATTTATAATAGTATCAAAAAGTATGAAATTAATGGCATAATCTGTCCCTATATATACAAGGCCTGTTCATTGAATACTATAAAACATTGCTGAGAGAAGTTAAAGACCTAAATAAGTAGAGAGACAAACCATTACCATGGGTCAGAACACTCAGTATTGTTAAGACATCTATTCTCCTCCAGTTGATCTAC